TCATGACAAAAGCCAAACATTAGAGTGACTGTATAAGAAAGAGAGAGCACTGTATTTTTCTCTCCCCTAATTACCTTGTTTTTACTTAGAAACCACATGGCAACAGCATAATGACAATTATTATTCCAAAAAGACTTACTTACCCACTGGTTTGTGGTTCATTTCCTGCAGGGATCACATACATATACTTTAAATACTCAAAGTAATGTAACTCGCTTTGTGGCACATATACACTGAGTGTAAAAAACATTAGGAACTGCTCTTTCCATGACAGACTGAACAGGTGAATCCAGGTGAAAGCTATGATCCCGTATTGATGTCTTCTGTTAATTCCACTTAAAAAATCAGTGTAGATGAAGGGGAGGAGACGGGTTAAATAAGTATTTTTAAGGCCTGAGACATAGATTGTGTAAGTGTGCCATTCAGAGAGTGAATGGGCAAGACAGAATATTTAAGTGCCTTTGAACGGGGTATGGTAGTAGGTGCCAGGCGCACTGATTTGAGTGTGTCAAGAACTGCAGAACTGCTGCTGGGTTTTTCACACTCAACAGTTTCTTGTGTGTATCAATAATGGTCCACCACCCAAAGGACATCCAGCCAACTTGACACAACTGCTGGAAGCAGTGTAGTCAACATGGGCCAGCATCCCTGTGGAACGCTTTCGACACCTTGTAGAGTCCATCCCCTGACGAATTGAGGCTGTTCTGAGGGCAAAAGGGTGATCAACTCAATATTAGGAAGGTATTCCTAATGGTTTGTGCACTCTGTGTATATTACTTGGGGATTCTTTGTCACAAATACCAGAAAGTGGCAATTGTTAATAATTAATTTCAAGTAATTACCAGAAAGAATTATGCTGTTACCATGTAGTTACTAAGCATAAAATAAAGTTTTACCTAAATGGATAAAATAACCTAATCACTATATGGATCACTAGAGGTGCATCTACATACAGTATAAGCAATGTAGTTTACAAGTTTAACTCTAGTGGACTTGGTAGACTATATAAAAGAAGCAGTCAAAAGACCAGACATTGGAAGATGGAACTAAGACAATACGCCATGTAATCCATTTTGAGATGCCTTGAGGGATAGGGGAAATCAACAACTTTTTGCCAACATCGAGTCTTCTCTATTAAGGACTAAACAAATGACTTTGGGGACTGTTTCTGAACAACGGCCAGCCAAGCAACCATTATATTTGCCTTGAAATTATTTTGGAACTACAATGCTTTAATTGAGACTTTCTTTATTCTTGTAATTTCTTGTTGTTATCTTTAATTTGACTCGTGTACCATATTTTGCTGGCTTGCATAGTGTGTATAAATCTGGCAAAAATGACAAGGGCAATGATTTTGTGTCTGTCTTTATTTGACGAGGAAACTGTACTGTATTCAATTGCTGTTTATAGAAACCCATACTAAAGATATGAATGTCAAATCCAAAATATGCCTTTCCAGTTGTTATCAAAGTTATATTGTCATATTTATGTATCAATGGCATATATCCACTCATTTTGACAAGTTCTTACTATACCCTGTGCTGGTGTAAAAAGGGTATTTTTGATTTGTGCTCTTACTACAGATAGTTGTGGTCCACCTCACTTGGGCCCTCTGACAAAACAACAGGTTGTTTAGTAATGAAGACTTATTTCCACAATTTATCATGGTCCTGACACAAACCGTTATTATGGTAAGTTTGTTGGCATTATGCCTATCCTAATTGGAATTATGCCTAAGTAAACTAAACAAAGGTTTGTGACAGCTGTCATAAGCGGTCATGACTGTTTATGACATCTGTATGTCATTATTATGACGGTGTTAGGTAGACCTTGTGATAAAAAGTGTTATCGACAGTTGCTCTTACCTGAAGCATTACCACTGCATTCTGGTAATCAAATCTATCTCTGCTATAAACTGGCACATTGAACAGACAATCAATCAATTAGCTGTGGATACCAAAGCTCATTTCAGACTATGACGATTCCCGTAGTACGTCAATCCAATTCGGTGGTAAAACGCAGCTGTCTTTTGAGAGGGACTTAGCTTAAGTATCCCACTGTCTCACACTCTATATCTATCTAATGTAGGCTGACACCGCTTCCCCAAATACCTCCCCCTAAACCCCTCACGATGACTTGATGCCTCTACTGAAACATCAGGTCTAATCTATCAAACCCCAACACACTGAACTCTCTCACTCTCTTCACCGTCTCTCCTTTTCCTATACCCTTTTTAACTACTCTCTATGCCATTTTTAAAATTAATTCCCCCTCCCATCTGTGTCCATCTCTGACCCTCTTACTCTCTTTTCCACTACCTCTCTTTTTCTCTCTCACTCTATGGCTCCGTCCAGAAACAGCCCCTATCCACTTGTCCAATTGTCTCATCTCCATGAGGAGTTGTTTCCGGACAGGTTCTATCTCACTCATCTCTTCGTTTCTCTTTCTTCTTCCTCCTTCCTTCCTTCCTTCCTTCCTTCCACAGTCTAAACCTGGATAACTATGTCGACCACGTGACTTGTATTCTCTCCCTTCTCTTACCCTCTTACGCTTGTCCACTACCTCTCTCTTTCTCTCTAGCTATATACAGTATCTCTCACTCCCTTCTCCATCTCTTTTTATTTCTCTCTATCCATCCCTCCCTAATCCTGGGGACAATGTCAGCCAAGTAACATGTATAAATATCCCCATTGGGGGACATAGTTGGCATAGTGGGCGCCCCTCTATGCCCTGCCTGCACCCCATTCATCATTGGAATTTCCCAACATTGGGGATGCCATGGCACTGTAAGCCCCGACAAGCTCTCGTGGTCTGGGAGAGGAGCAGGGGGAGTGGGGTTACTGGGAAGCTGTACTGTGGCCCATTCTTCAAGCCATCTCCCTATTTCCCTTTCTCCCCACCATGTCTTTCTCGCTGTCTTTATTTTTCTCTCCCGCTTAAATAATTGCCTGGTTATAGTATTCTGACCTACCTAAAATGTTAAGAGTACAACCAAACTGGCTTAAATTGTTCTTACATTTAACATTTTGCAACTGTTGTAACTATTAGAAGAGTACATGAAACCTTGGATCTGACCTCCAAAATTAAGGCCTAGATTAAATCAGATCAAGCGCTAACTGGCGATAGCTGACACCCGCATAGCTTATGTTTTGGCGGTGTCGGAGGTGTAACTGCGTTGGAGCTGTCAAATCGGTGAGCAGCTGCTCTTGATCACTGTCATGAAGCCACACCCATCCCACTCACGTTGGAAGTTCAGAACGAGAAAGTGTAGTCTATATAGAAATAATGAGGCTCAAATTGAAAATCATTAAACTAAATAATGAGGATTTCTATCATTCTAATTGAGGTGTAGGTTACATCTCACATTCCAGTTTTCGAACTTGTAAACAAGGCTGCATGGGATTTATATTAATGCGACTCTGTGCAGCCAATGGCAATGTCCGCTTTAGGTATAATGCTGGGAGCTGCTTGTGGATTTGACAGCTCGCAGTTCCACCTCCGACACCGTCAAAACATCAGCTATGCGGATGTCGGCTAAAGCGGATCTGATTGAATCGGACCTTAAGTGTTGTTGACTTTTGCACCTTGCTCTAACCCCTAAACCTGACCTTTAACCTAACATTAGATAACATTTACTAACCTAACGTAAAATTGCTAGGCGTCTCTCTTTCAGTCACTCTGTATCTTTGTCTGTCAAGTTGATGTTTAAGAGAATTGGAGTTTGCAGTAGTGGTGTCAGGCACATGAGCAGGTGTTGCTGAACTGTTATAAAAGAGTTATGAAGTAGTATAAGTTTATGACCTCTTAATATTTACTATGACATGATTCTTTAGCGTAAGCTGTTGAGATGAAGTGCTTTTCTCCTTGTTAGCATGTTTAGTATTTCATGTCCAAATGATCCCAAAGTGTCTCAAATTAATTGTCTTCCTCAAAGTTACTTTTTAAGATGATTTGGACATGAAATGCAAAACATGCTTATATAGGGGTGATTTACTTTTTGGACAAAAATGCTAAAAAGTTTGTGTTTGGAGACAGTGGCTAGGTAAAAACTAAAGGATGGAATGCTGCCTTACCTTGTCGATAGGGTTCCTTACCCTATAAGGAGTCTATGTAATTGTGTAGTTTGGATGAATAATAAGGAAAATTACTACTGTTGTTTTGTTGCCATGGTTGTCATTTCAAACCCTGAAGCTAATATTTTCAACATTTAAGGGGTGCCCAGAGCTATGGTATGGGGGTTTCCTGATTTGTTATGGGAGTGCCCACTCCCCACACTACCCTCTACCCTGCACTCCTAGATACCGCTGTAATTCGAACCCTGTGTGTGTGTGTGTGTGTGTGTGTGCATGTGTGGAGGACAGAAATAGAACTGTCTCTTTTGTTTTATGACAGCATCTGCCTAATTGTCTATGCCCCACTCATTGTCCTTCTCGCTCTCTCTCTCTCTCTCTCTCCCACTACCTTAGTTTGTATTACTAAAAGCCCACACAGCAGGAAACATACAATATATGTCAATTATGTCAAAGAATATGACAGCTGACACAGGAAGACAGAGGGAAATGGATGAGAACAGGCTTTCTATCTGCCGGTAGAAGTTGCTCGTATGCACAGCTCTAGAATCAGCTTGCGTTTCCCAAACCTGACCTTAACCATTAGAGGAACAACGCAACATCAGGATAAGTTCATCCTACTTTGCTTTATTATGGAGAGGAAGGATCAGTAGATCAATTTAAAGAACTGACCTTTAAAGGATTGAGTTGGGTGGAGCCAGAAGGCTAGAGTGGGAGGGGCATGTTTGTGGGTGTGGTCATCTACTCTTGGGGATATATATTTTATCTTTCTATCTCAGAGTTTGGTCTCGCTTCTGCTCTTTCTCCCTCCCTCCTTCTCTCCCTCTCTCTGTCTCTCCTATTCCACTGAGTTGACAGGACTGTCCTGCACCCTTTATCCCCCTTTTCCCTTCTTTTCTCCGTCAAAAAGCCCAAAAGACCTTCATAAAAATGGAGGCAGTCAAGAAGAAGATGCTTATGTTGAAGCTGGATAAGGAGAACGCTCTGGACGCAGCAGAACAGGCCGATACCGACAAGAAGGCAGCCGAGGAGAGGAGCAAGCAGGTGGGCCAGCCACATCACAGAGAGTAGGGGGATCCTCTATCATGGATGGGGATATGGGCACCTTGGGCAGTCAAGGAGCCAACTGTAGGCTACTACTACCCCAAGGAGCAAAACTGGTTGCAATGATGTCATTCTGTCATTTTTCTACGTCATGGTCAGGTTGTATACCTATTGTTGAAGGACTTTTCTGATGTCTTTTTTAGTGACCAGAAAAAGACGTGTGGGTGTGTCACAAATGGCATCCTAGTCCCTATATATTTCACTTATTTTGACCAGAGCACTCTTTGTATTGTCTGTACAACTGGAAATCCAGTTAACCACCAGAAAATCTCATCATGACAGAATGACATTGGGACAGGGATGGGGGGTGGAAGTCTCGAAAGGTGAAATGGCTTATAGGTTTCCATAATGTTGCTGTGTGATTTGGAAATGGTTTGCTTAGATACAACTCTGTTACAACCCCTAGGCCGGTCATTGTTAAAAGGTAGAGTTAAAAAGTAATTGGTAAAATAGATGTGACATTTTTTTACCGATATTGGAATATACTGGTTAGTGAAGGAGTCATCTCACCTGCTTTTCTAGATGTGTTTGTAACAGAATATTTTATTTTGAATTGTTTTGTTTTAAATTCCATTGATTTCATTTTATTATTCTTGAAAATAAGGTAACAATTTCATGACATCACTATAAATACAAGAGGTTAGGATATATTTAAGAATAGGACAGAGCTGACAAGACTTAAAGACTTAACAACTGAGTCCTAAGTGACCTCTGTCCCCCAAAAACATGACAACTGGAAAATTCAAAACCATGCCAAGAAAACTTGTGAGAAACGTTAGACCATATTTCTCTCATTAGCAAGGCCAGACAGGCTGTCTGTCAAGGCTGGGGTGGTTTAGCTAGTGATCTCTCCACAGAGAAATTGCGAAGGGCTAGACACTAGGATGGAATATGACAGTGGATCCTTTCACTGAGTGATTGTTAGGGGAAGTTACCATCCAGAGGGAGTATTTATATCTAGATGGCGTTGAAGTGGAACCATGGCAGGCCTGTCCACCAGGCTTTAGGTTACTTGTGACAAGAGGACAGGTGAGGCGGCTGCAGACATGGGTTCAAATAGTATTTGTTTTCTTTCATATACTTTTCTAGCTTGCCTGGCACAATGGAATAGTCCCAAAAGTGTCAAACCAGTCCATTTGCCACTCTAGGAAGGCTCAAACGCTCAAAGTATTTGAAAGAAGACACATACTATTTGAACCCAGGCCTGGGTGACAGTCAAGATGCCTTGATGAATGGAGATGGACAAGGATATGAGGCTATCAGTTAACGAATACTATTTTCACACCAATAAGCCAAGCTTTACTGTGCTGGCCTGGTTATGTATCCACCGTAGTTGCGGGAACAGTGCTGGAAAGGTCAAGGTGAAAAGAAAATAGTCAGCCCAGTATGATTCAGGTCTGCACCATAGTGTGAAAAGACTGAAAAATCTCACCCGCCCTTTCTCCATCTCAATTTCCTCTTCTCGCCCTCCCTCCTTCCTTCTCTCATTTGCTCTCTCTCTCAGCATGAGGATGAGTTGCTGCAGATGCAGAAGAAACTGAAGGGGACTGAGGATGAGCTGGACAAATACTCTGAAGCCTTGAAGGATGCCCAGGAGAAGTTGGAGGTTGCGGACAAGAAGGCCGCAGATGTAAGTGTGTTGTGTTCTTCCAAGGTCTTACAGGTCTAGTATCAGATTACCCAACCCCATTTCCTAAACTTAAGTATTAACAGTAGCTGACCCTGGACCAGTGGTTAGGTGCAACTTCTACCAACTTGTGCTAGCTCCAAGAACTGATGCCTCGGCTATTTGTTACGTGGCTTAACATGGTCTTGAGTAGCAGGGATGATCCTTGTTTGACACCAGGCCGGTCACATTGGTGCCATGACCTGGATGCTGGGGTTGCTTTGGAAACAATGAGAAGATTGAAGAGGTGGTGGAATTGGTCCAATGATCATCATCAACAGTAGAGGGTGTAGAATAGGTCTAGCCAGATGCCTTAGTAAGATTGTAATATGAGCCGTAAGAGCTTTGATCCCGGAGCGATGCAGGTTCTGTGCAGGGACCCAAAAGGATTTAGCAAGCTTGAAGGCACCAGAAGCCTCATTCCTGCTCATATTACATACTGTATGACAAAGCAAACACACTTGTGCTATGAAAACACAATCTGCTCTTACAGGGTTAGACAAGCTTAGACCACAGGAGGTTAAACCTGGTGCCTGGTGTCTCCCCTACCTCCCATTCTTCTCATTCGCTCCGATCACCCATCCACAGCTACTGCTGTTTCATCCCCATATTCTGACCATGATGTCATCCAGTCGAGCTATGACTATCACACTAACCATGCTACCATTTTAGGTACAATAACCATCGATATTATCACTAGAGTAGCGTTCGTCAAGTCTGGTCCTGGGGACCCACAGGGTGTGCAGGCTTTTGTTCCAGCCCAGCACTAACACACCTGATTTAACTCATCAATAAGCCCTTGAGTTGAATCAGGAGCGTTGGTGCTGGGCTAAACAAAAGCTTGCACACCCTGTGGGTCCAAAGGAACAGCATTGAAGAACACTGGATCTAGTTGCTGTTATGGTTCTAGCGATAGAAAGACAAGACACTAACCAACTCCAAAGTCATCAGACTTTTTGAGCAACAGATAATATAACCATTCAGACTTTCTGAACAACACATGACATTTGGATTCACGAGTCATAGTGCCTTTACCCATACATTGCCAAAAAAGGCCTACTTTAGTTTTGTCAAGGAGTATGTGAAAAGCGGCACCCCTGGAGTAGTTTGGGGGTTAAGGGCTTTGCTCAAGGGCGCAGTTGCTGTAGATGGCATGTGAGTTATTGATGCCTGCAATCCTCCAGTTGCCAGCTCACTTTTTCCAGTCAGCACTGGGATTTGAACCGGCAAACCTCCCGTTACCGACCCGCCTCTCTAACCTTTAGGCTACCGCGGCCAAGACTATACTTGGGTTGCCACTCTCTATTCTTGGGTTGGCAATCTCATCCTAGTTCCCTCCCCCCTTTCAATTTCTTTACTCTTCTCGTGCTCTAGTGGTTTAGGTGTATTTTTCTCCAACAATTTCCCTCCCCTTCCCTTTAGGTCTCAGTAATTCTCTCTCTCTGTATTTCCCCTAGTTGACTGTAATGAAGTACTTTTCTCCGGACTCTAGATATAGAACAAACAGCAGCTGTCATCACAATCGTTTGTCTCAATAGAGAGAATGCATGGAGTGACCATATTGAAATACCAGAGGGGCTTAGGTTTGTGTGCGTGTGTGTGTTTTGCAGTAAATAGGTATTGTGTGGTGCCTTGGAGTGATGATTACCCAATGATTCATATGGTTTACAACCAGCCAAGGTCATTACGGGTGTTATGCGCTCTTGTGTGGTCTGTCTGCCCTACACTGTCTGTACAGCTATGTGGCAAAATCATGGGTGTGTTTGAGCTTCATCTTTACGAGCTTCAAGTCCGTATTGTGTGTGCACGTGCGTGCATTTTCTTGCACGTGTACCTGTGAAGACACCTTTCTTTGAATACACCTCTCTGTCTTGTCCTTGTGCATATGTGTGAATATACAGTATATTAATATGAAAGGGGACCAAAGACCTATATAAAATAATCTATTCTCATGAGCCATCCTATATGAGGAGTGTATAGGGGATACAAAGGCCATGACCACAAGGTTATTTCCATTGAGAGGGTGGGGTGGGGTTTAGTGGTCTGAAAGGGGGACAGAATGGGGGCATTAACAGAAATACCAGAGGAGGGGGGATGTACAGCTGCCTCAGAACTCAATGGGACAGACTTACTAAACAAAAAAAAACATTCAACTTTATATACTGTGTACACTCCCCTCCGTATGTATTTGGACAGTGAAGCTAAATTTTTTCGTTTTGGCTCTATACTCCAGCATTTTGATTTGAGTTCAAATGTTTCATATGAGGCGACAGTACAGAATGCCACCTTTTATTTTAGGGTATTTTCATAAATTTACCGTTTAGAAATGAAAGCACTTTATATATCTAGTCCCCCCATTTGAAGAAGTCATAAGTGTTTGGACAAATTTCACTCATAGTGTATTAAAGTAGTCAAAAGTGTAGTATTTGGTCCCATATTCCTAGCACGCAGTGACTACATCAAGCTTGTGACTCTACAAACTTGTTGGATGTATTTGCAGTTTGTTTTGGTTGTGTTTCGGATTACAGTATGTTTGCCCAAAAGGAACTGAATGGTGAATATTGTATTGTGTAATTTTGGAGTGCATTTTATTGTAAATAAAGAATAAAATATGTTTCTGAACACTTCTACATTAATGTGGATGTTACCTTGATTACAGCTAATCATGAATAATGATGATCATGCCCCCAAAATCATGAATAAAGATCATACCGAACAAAAAATGCTAACCTCCCCTTCTTGGTAATGGTGAGAGGTTAGCATGTTTTGTTGAAGCCTCTGAACGGCATCTCACTTATCATTATCATCATGGAATTATCAGGATTAATTTAAGTGTTCAGAAACATCTTATCTACTCACTTAGAAAGAAAATGACCAAAACAAACTGCAAATGCATACAACAAGTTTGTAGTCACAAACCTTGATGTAGTCATTGCATGCAAGAAACATGGGACCAAATTCTATACTTTTGACCACTTTGATACATAAGTGAATTTGTCCAAATACCTATGACTTCTTCACATGGGTGGGATCAGATACATAAAGTGCTTCATTTCTAAATGGTAAAACAGATATGTATGAAAATAACCTCAAATAAAAGGTAACATTCTGTACTGTCGCTTCATAAAACATTTTATCTCAAATCTGAAATGCTGGAGCATAGAGTCAAATTTAACATTTTAGCTTCACTGTCCAAATACATACGGAGGGAGTGTACTTTTGTCTGGTTACCCAGACTCCTTGCTCCGGCCAAACGCTACGCCCACTAACATTAGTTTCTTCTCTGCAATGAGTCTGGATCTGAGTACCTCCCCAACCCTACACCGAGTGCGAACACATTCGGGGCCATCTGATTGGTCCAGAAACCGATGGGTTGGGCCAGAGCCAGAACATCAGTGGGTAAAGCGGCAGTTTGAAAATTCGTCATTGGCTTTGATACTCTGATTGGTTAGATAAGATCCAATTGCTGAAGACTTTGTTTTGTACAACATCCCTCGTGCCCCGTCACCAGAAATGGCTTCAATGATTGCATCCTCAGACAAAAGTACTGTATGCAGCAAACGACAGAGCAGCGGAAGAATTGAGTGAGTTGTCAGGCTAAGTATACTTTACCCTTTCATCCTATTACTTCTCTTCTTTTTTATTTTATTTTATTAATTTGTTTAGGTTTTTTGGGGGGATAGATCAGCTTTAATATTGCAGATAGATTGTAACTTCCATCAATGTAATTGTCTGCATCACTTCCAATCCCCCATGTTTTTTCTCTCTCGCATATATATATATATATATATATATATACTTCTCTTCTTAATTAATATTGATTTACCTTTTAGTTCTACCTTATACCTTTCTTAATAACATGCATTTCTATATTAGGTGGGCCCCCACCTACTTTCCCCTCTAGCTGGGTATGTCCTAAATATCTCCCCCAGAATAGAATAATTGTTCCATAGAGACAACTAGATTAGTGTGAAGCGATAGTGCCAAAGAGATTAGTGCATTTGTCCCTACAGTGTAACCAGACCTCTCCAAATGTTGCTCTGCTCTGTGTGTGTGTGTGTGTGTGTGTTTGTGACCGTGTGTGTGCTTTTTTTTGTGTGGTCCTTTTGAGTGTGCAATGTGTGTATTTGTGTGTGTGTCAGTGGAGGCTGCTGAGGGGAGGACGGCTCATAATAATGTCTGGAATGGAGTCAATGGAATGGTATCAAACACATCAAAGATGTGGTTTCCATGTGGTTGATGCCACTCCATTGACTCCATTCCAGCCATTATTATAAGCCATCCTCCCCTCAGCAGCCTCCACTGGTGTGTGTGTGTCCTTTCCAGTGTCATTAAGTCTCAGAGGAGTCAGAGTTCTAAGTTGTTGGGACAGACCTCTCCTTGACCTACGTGGCCCGTCTGCCTCTCCACATGCTCGTGATTAGCGTCATAATAAGCCACGCTAAAGGACAGTTTTATGACTGCCTGAGTATGCCTAGCTCCTTACACACCTAAATCACAGGCACACAGCTTTCAGCAAGAGGGTAAAGAGCAACTCAATCTTCACACATTAAGGAGCTCTCAAAGCTCCGCACCTTCAGCAGCGCTACTTAACCAGTGGCTAATGAATAAAACAAATGTACATTCAACTCCTGCTGAAGGCATAGGGTGTTTCTCAAAATGCATACTACCGTGCTCCGAGCACACAAATTGGAGCACGGGGGGGTCGGAGTATGAGTCCAAATCAAAGTATGCTAAACGGAGCACGGAGGGTACTTCTCGAATGCGTACTTCGTTTGTACATATTCTGAAGCATGCATCGATGCAAGCTTCAACGGAAGTATGCAAAGAAATTTGACGCAACCATGTACAAAAATGAGGCAAAAGTTATTGAAATCAATGGCGGACATTATTTGAGCTGAAGCGAGAGAAAATACAGAACGACTTCGGAATGAAATGTTGCCTATTCACATCTCATATGCTGCCTGACTACAATATTTGATCTTGATACGTTAATAAATTCATGGTGTGGTAATTTTGGCATATTTACCTGCCTACGTACCATAGATCGCAAGCCCATAATAAGTCAATAGGGCTAACTGGCTAGCTACTACTGTTAGCTAGCCAGATAGCCACGAAGAATTGTTAGCTAGCTACCCACGAAGAATTGACATTATCTTGCATAATATTTGTTTTAGGTCATTTTCGCCTGTTAAACTATCTGGTTAGCTACATTATTACGATTCACATATAGCTAGCTGATAATTATGCAGTAAAATGTTTGCTTTGTGTATATCTTATTTCGTCTATTGTTGCCATTGTCCTGGCTGGAAGAAGGTTCAGTGAATGGGGAGGTGAAGCGTGAGGTAATACAGTAGGGGGAGTGCGAGTGCTTCTCAAATGTAATGTTTTATACAACGGGTGGGTCTAATCCTGAATGCTGATTGGTTAAAACCGCATTCCAGCCGGTGTCTATTCCACAAGTTACCACTGGCTAAATCTATGATGTCATCTGACTGCGCAATCCACTGTCTCATCAGCCCAGCCAGGCAATTTATAAACTTGATCGCCACTATAAAAAGCATCTATTATCTCACATTTCTTTTAGACTAACATTTAGTTTTCAACAGCAGAGATTTGTATAAACCTTGCTGTCTGTCTCTCCAACATTTGCAACATTGTTTCAATATTCAAATTCTCCAGCTGTCCCATAGTAATGAACGGTGTCGGGATGAGACAGACAGGTAGGCAGCTTTTCTCAGCCAGTTGAAATTATGAATCAGCATAATTTTTATGGATACAAAGAACTATCAATAGAAAACAGGTCAAACGAAACGAAGTGCAGCTAGTTTGAAGTCTTTCCAGCTTCAGTTTGAAGTGATCGTGTTAGCTGTGTGTTGGCTAGCTCCTCTGAACAACAGTGTCCTGACGAGAGAGCACATTTTCTATGCCAGGTGAAATCGCACATCATTAGCTCATTGTTATGGATGTATCCAAATATATGTCACTAAAAAACAGCTTAAACAAATGCAGCTACTTCGTTATTATTCCGGCAGCACTGTTTGACGTTACTGTAAATTAGCCGTAGTTGGCTAGCTAGCAAGCAAGGGATAAGAACGTTGCCAGCCAATATGGCAATGGAACATTTAGAACGAACAACCTGGGTTGCGTCCATAGATACTGAACAAAAAGACTGAACGACTGGGTCGCGTCTCCGGCAACCAAACCGATAGAACGAATGACCAGCCGGCTTGGGTAGCAACCCTAGATTTGAGTCGGGACTATATCTTGTGGAAGGATTAAATAGTATTAATAAATTCATCAAAATAACGTTTTTAATGAAAATGTCAATCATTATTTGAATATGTTGGTAACCCGTTGTATAAAAGTGATAATGCCCTCGAAGCTGGTGTTTGGAGGATGTTGCAAAGGTTTGCAACACCCGTGCCAATATATCCCCCAAACACGGGCTTCTCTGGCATGATCACTTAATTATGCATTCTCCACACTCTTGTCCGCACAAGAACGTACTCAAGAGAACGTTGTTGGAGAATGCACTCGGAGCATGACAGTGTGGAGCACGGTAGTATGCATATTGAGAAACACCCATTGTTTAGCATCCAGCTCCTACTAAGCACTAACACAATTTGGCATGTAGGCTACCGCTACGCCCTATCTTAATTTTATAACTCCTGCTAACAGCTTACAAATGTTTGCATAACTCTAGCTAACAACTAATAATCCCCTGCTATGTGCTAACTGATCATTTTAGCATAGAAGTAGCAAAAATTTGGCATCGGAAGAGCCCAGCGATTTGCCACAGTATTGCAGTCAAACTGTGTTTTGGCCCACAGAAAGCATATCATTCTTCATATCATTTACATTTCATGTCTTGATTTCAGTCATTAGAAAAACAAATCCTGAAATAGCCTAGATGTAGCCTAATTTTTATAATTTGTCAATAGACCTATAGTTACAAACGTACAGTTATACGTCTAATTAGACCTACTTATTCAATTAACATTTCACAGTTATGTAAATTGAAATCTGGGCATCGCAATGCAGAATCAATGTGCAAAGAGAGAAACTAAATGTCTAAAATTGGCTCACAGTGCAAAACGTGGTCTGGAGTGACACTTGGTGGTAACAACTGGAAGTGTAAGTGGACAATCAAGCCACTTACTGAAACCATTCACGAGGGAACAACAAGGTCATGTTCGTTAGGCACCAAACGTAAGAAATCAAGGAGGGACTACCTGGAGTTGACCAATAAGAAAAGCTTATTTTATTTTTCTGTTGCTAAATGTTTTCAGTTGCGTGCCCTAATAAACACAATCCTGGTACTGACGATGGATTGAGAGACGGGAAGGGAGGGCGAGGAAATGATGACTACAGCAGGATTTCAGCAAATTATGACTACATCAGGATTTCTCAATACTCTGCATCTCAAGGCCTGTTTGAAACACAGTCACCTTCACAGCTGTGTTTTTTATTCACTGAAATGAAAGAGTTAAATTCCAATCGAAATACTTTCTTTACCTCACAAGGAAAGATTATTTCGGGCATAATTAAAATATTATCTAGGCCTGCTGCCTGGCTTGGCTAGATGTGGCAAAATGTAACCAATATGTTCATAGAAAAAAAAGTATTTAACGTATTTTAACGCATCGTTAAACCAACATTTTACAAGACAAGGCGCATTTTCTTTTTTTATATCACAGGGAATTTACTGAAATGGTTAACAAGTAGTGACTTGATTTGTGTGTGTTCATGTCTCGGCATCCTCAAATTGTTGTATCCTCAAATTGTTGTGAAACATGAAGGAATTAAGAAACCGTCATATTCTGTGTCTGGAGGGGTTTGAAACAGGCTTCAGGTACGAGGTGATGACAAGCAAACAAATGTACACATACCGAGCACATAGTCACACACGATGAACAAGTAGGCATACAATACAAAATAGCCTGTAGATAGAAGACATACGTACACCGTTCATACAAACGTTTACTACATTGTGATGTAGAGATGACATTCTCATGCAAGTGAAAGTTGCATTCCACTTAAATTAGACTCTTGACAGGGTATAGATCAAGTGTGACATAGCAGCTCACAGACAGAATGATGGCTGAGGCAAATGGGCTATGTCAAACGTTCACACCATATACGAACAGACACAAACAAATAACCAAATCAATTTAGATAAGATCAGGGAAATAATCATACACGCACACTATCTGCAGCCTTAAATGATTGGTTTCTGTTAATAAAAGCGGAATTTTCCTAAATATACGCCCGTATATGGACTTTCTCATATGCTACCCCGGGAGTGGCTTGGAATGCGAGCGATTTGGTCATTTTACGTCACTTTACCTGGTCAGGACACGTATAACCAAGGAGTGCCTTCCTGTCGAAGAGACGTCGTGCTCAATGCGCTGACAGGGGATCATTTTGCTTTCCCTCTGGGGGCCAACTAGTGTTCTAGGGGCAGACTCTGGATCAGCATTCCAGTCTATTGTCTACACCAGACTGGGTGTGGCGCAAGCCGGAAGTGGGTTGAAAAGGAAAGAGAAGGGGAACCGAGCCGGCATAATGATTTGGAGACAGGGGAGGGAGAAACTGGACCGCAAATCCCTTGTCGAGGCAATTTTTTATTTGTTTGTTTGAATTAGATTTAATTAGAACCGCGCGCAATTGAAAGAAATCCCCCCCATTTTCCAAAGCGGAAGTCAATGAATTAGGGTTGCTTACTTGCCACGTCTGTAGAAAAAAAAATCATCTTTGCTGCTTCCTGGCTAATTTAACAGCAAGATAACTATCTAAACCATCTAACACAGGTTTAGGCTACTTAAAAAAAAAAAAAACTTATTTAGGTTAGACCTGTGTCAATTTTAAGTGCGTTATTGAGTGTCACTGCTCTTTGGAGGAAGAACGCATATTTCCACGCCACTAGCCAACTACAATCAACGTTTGCCCATCTTGGCGGGGCGTTGCTGCTTTTTACCTTTCAGGACAACTCGAGCAGAAGTCGAAGTTCTAAGAAACGTTTTAGAGAAGACAAACAACTAACTAGGCCTAGCATACGCTCACAAACACAAGACAATGTCTGGAAACAACAGCATCGACGCGGTTAAGCGAAAGATCAAAGTTTTACAGCAACAGGCAGATGAAGCCGAAGAAAGAGCAGAAATTCTTCAGAGGCAGGTCGAGGTGGACAAAACATCAAGAGAACAGGTAAAAATGATATTCAGGAATCAACATTCGTTAAGCATTTCGACAAGATGTGCACGTCGATAGGCCTACATTGTTTCGATCTACGACGTGCGTTGATAGTGCACTTTAAAAAGAAACAATGTAGCCTACCACTGGGACTGGCTCGTGATTCATGCATTTACACCTCCGCCCTACATAGGAGCCTATTGACATGGGACTCGCCACTTCAATATAGGTACGACCGGAAGTTACTTTTCGTAGCAGGTTAGGACGGACAGTGGTTCCCAACATTTTTCGGTTACTGTACCCACCCAGCCAGGGATGGGGGAAAACAATTACTAAATGCTGAACAAAGATGAATGTATAAAAATAAACTATAAACTACTTGTATTTTGTAATGTATTTAAACAAAATGCACGCATTTTGCATTTTAAAATACAAAAATACATTTGCAAATAGTCTCCGTGACGGGTACAAAAACGTGACTGTGATATGCTGTTTAGCTACGTTGAGAAAGTCCCCTGGATAAGCATGTCTGCTAAATGACCAAAATGTATAATTAGAATAATGCTTTGCAGTTGTTCACTTTTACATATACATTTTATATTTAGTTCCTTTTTTTACATTTTAGTAATTCAGCAGACTCTCTTATCCAGAGCGACACAGTTAGTGCATTCATCTTAAGATAGCTAGGTGGGACAACCACATATTACAGGCATAAAAATAAATTTTTCCTCAATAACGTTGCTATCAGTAGAGTCAACTAGAAGGGTGGGGGGGTGAAGTAATTTTATCACACCATAGTGCTATCAGACTTCTGATACCAATGCAGGTTGAAAAGGGGGACACAATGTGAACCGCTATAAAAAAAATGGTATAGAAAAGTATTTTGAAATTACTAATTACTGTATTTTGAAAATACAAAATATATTGCAGTGTAGTTCAGCCCAGTGTAATTGAAATTACAAAATACTCAGATGTAATTAAAATACATATTTTAAATACATGCAACAGAAATACTGCACATATCTGACTCTACCACCAACATAATTTTGCTCTGCCCTGCGTACCCCTGAAGTATCTCCCCATGTGCATTTTACCAGTAGGCCTATGGGCTTATCACTAGGTTAGGAGAGCATTTTCGCTAACCTTAACCTAATTCTCCTAACCTGCTACGAAAAAGTCATTTCCAGTCGTATCTGTATCGAAGTGGCGTGTTTTTAGGGAATCTCCTATTGACATTGACACCTATCAAATGGGTTGTGTATGATTGAATAGTGTTACGAAGGAATTGTCTCCGTGAGAAAATACGCACAACCAAAAGACTGAAATTGAAGTCATTGTGGGAGTTCGGTGAAGCTAGACTGGGGTGCACACCGGGCTTATATTGATGCGAAAGCGATGAAGTGAAAAGAGGAGTGCCCTGCTCAAATTTAACTGTAAATGCTTAAAGTAACTGTCCAGTGTTTGCAGATTTCTATGAAATATGACCTATAATTAATTACAATATGAGTGAAATAAAGCAGCTTTTCTGTGTTGGAATGGTGTGGGCATATACCGGTTGTTCAAAAATATTGTGAGTAGACTGCTGATTGGCCAGCTCATGATGACATCAACCTCTGTGTCTGAGGAAATAGAAAGCATTTTTTTTAAAACAGTATTTTTGTGATACAAGTTTGAGGTAGGGTTTTTGAAGGTTTTTTTTTCTCCAATTTATGCTTTGGCCACATGAGTATAGGATGAGTCAACAACATTATTTGGGTGTGAGTTAACGGAATATTAACTTTTAAAAGTGAGATTTTCACTGGACAGGTACTTTAAGCCAAAGATACTGGGGGGGAATTGATTAATGCCCAGGGTGAACCGGGCTAGTGTTGATTGTTTTGGAATCCGGCTGCCTCCTGGACATGAGCCAAGTCCCGTTTTGGCTGATGGCAAAGTCTGCTCAAAACAAAAGTGAAGTCATTAAGCACTTGTAGTAATGAGTAGGATTCTGTGTTTTCACATGCAAAAGTGATTGCTTTTGATAAAAACGCTTTACCTGCCTCCCCAATGAAAACTAGTTTGAAAATTCTAACATTTATTTTATGGAAAAGAGATGTATGTTTCTGGAGGATGCACCATGCTGCCTTGTTGACATCACCATTACTGTTTTATTTTCGAAGAGCGCTCATCCTTCCACGCTTTCGCCCGATGACGTGATGGGCCATTGCCCGATTCATCCTGGGCTAGCGTAATAGAACTCCCTCACTGACAGCTGTAGAAGCAATGGATTGTGGTCATTGTAGTTCATTATCATGTTTTTTTTGCTTTACTAATATAAAGAATGGTCAGTTGAAAACTACACCTTCCTACAATGTCCCACAGTTCATGCTTGATAAAGAAACGGTGTATGAGCTCACAAAGTAAACAAACTAAATTGAATAAAAATAATTGAACTGATGTCGGTCAATTAGTTATTTAAAAAAACAAAAATTAAACGGAATTTCAGCTAATCTCTCAGCACTATTTCAACTGATTGCAATGAACGTTCTTCTGTACCATTGAGAAGGAAATTGTGACGCCATGCATTCCACCACCTCGCATTACACAGAAAGCATGGTAGGCGTGCAGCTATAGAGTAGAGGGATGCCTTTAGCTTGACATGGCTAGTCGGTGCAAGATTCGGTAATTTAGCCACTGTAGGCTACTTCTTCGTTTCACATGTGTCAATGTTTCCGTCTCTCCCCTCTTTCTCTCGTTTGTCCATCTATGGCCATCTCTCTTTTCTCCTGTCATCTGCCTTTTCTCCTGTGTCTGTATACCTGGGTACACTGGCACATTTTTATAGCCAGTCTAGAGACCTCTATTCAATGAAGGTTAACCATGAAAACTAACAAGCAATTGGTAGGATAACATTTATGCAGATTGTCTTTTCCCCCACAATATATTTTCATTGGAGAATACAAAGTAACAGATATTGTATGGTTGCAATGTTGTGCTACACTGAACATGACCCATGTACTGGATGGATGCGTGTGTTGAGAAAATCAAGGTGAATTAATGAATGGCCATCTGACTGGAACATTGTCTAGCCTCACATTGGTGGACGAGGTGTGATGTGATTCAATGTTAAGTGCTTTGAGCACTAGAAAAATCACTAAATAACTCCTATATATCATGGCATATACAGTACATAATTGTTTGTACGTTCTAAGCAGGGTTGGGGTCAATTCCATTTCAATTTGGGAAGTGTACTGACATTTACCCTAACTCCTTCTCTCTCCACCCCCCCAATACAGGCTGAGGCTGAGGTTGCTTCCTTGAACCGGCGTATCCAGCTGGTTGAGGAGGAGTTGGACAGGGCCCAGGAGCGACTGGCCACTGCTCTGCAGAAACTGGAGGAGGCCGAGAAGGCTGCGGACGAAAGTGAGAGGTCAGTGGGACACACCCACAGTGCACATTATCAAAAATGGAAAAGCGGCCCACACACTGTAATGCTCCAAACACCACTGTTTAAAGAGATACTTCCCCAGAATCAGATTAACTTGTGGAGACCATTTTATGTCTGTCCAGTATGAAGGAAGTTAGAGGTAGTTTCACAAGCCAATGCTAACTAGCGTTAGCACAATGACTGGAAGTCTATGGGTATCTGCTAGCATTCTACAACATGCATTTAATCTTGCCCACATTAAGCACAACCAGGGCTTTCTGTAAGGCAACAAAGTCCAATTGTAGCTCTAACATAGCCTGGTCAACTGTTGGCAATGGCTTACATAAGTGTTGTCTGCATACACTTACATACACTTGTACATGTGTGAAATAGGACAAATATAAGCACCCACCAAATTTCATTGATGAAACATTCAATATCTAGTTTTCTGTTCCCAAAACTATAACCTGTTACGAACAGAGTGCACTAAGTAAAAAAAACACACACACACATTATAACCAGCGCAAGGGCGAATTGAGTTATCACACACGTGCACTTCAGACTAGGCGTTCCCTAACGGAAATATGAGAATATATGCTAAAACGCGCCAATAGGATCTCACTAGCTCTTGCTCTTCCCACCTTCTTGCTTGTTCTGCCCACTGTGCTTCATTTGCTCTCATTGTAAATGACGCCGACGATAAATCTTAGGTTAGTTACCAGTATCTTTGACAATTGTGTGTGTTTGGTCTCACTATCTCTGCACATGAGTCATTATTGGCCCAGCCAATAATGTTAATAGATTGGATGTGTGTGTTTTCTTTGACGAACCGTTGAGTTTCTCCCTCCATTGTCCCTCCCAAACTGTGTGAAATGTAGTGTCACATGCTGCTGACAGTGTGCAATATTAAGAGTGTGTGTTTAGTTTGACAAATATCCAAAGTCTAATATCGAGTATTGGCGTATTACCACAAAATGGTAGGCTGTCACGATAGGATACGTATGTGAGTTGGAATACCACATGAATCCCTACATGATACAGGGTCGTCCAGGGTAGGGGAGGGAATGGCCGGCAGGGATGTAGCTCAGTTGATAGAGCATGGCGTTTGCAACGGCAGGGTTGTGGGTTCGATTCCCACGGGGGGCCAGTATTAAAAAAATAAATAAATGTATTCACTAACTGTAAGTCGCTCTGGATAAGAGCGTCTGCTAAATGACTAAAATGTAAAAATGTAATACAATACGTCTAACGTGTGTGTGTGTGTGTTTGTTCCAGGGGCATGAAGGTGATTGAGAACCGGGCCCTGAAGGATGAGGAGAAGATGGAGCTACAGGAGATCCAGCTGAAAGAGGCCAAGCACATTGCTGAGGAGGCTGACCGCAAGTACGAGGAGGTGAGGATATCACACACCCACACAGCAGAGTTCTCCTCAGAATGAACAGAATTGCGTGCTGTGCCTGAACTAGCCTCGGATAGTGGAGCAACATTTCTGAGGAAAGGTAATGTTAGGTAATACAATACGCGTGTGAAAATTGGTACGATCATGTACACACACACACACAAAATGCGGCTTCAGTACTACTTCATATGCACACACATGGACACAATGAGGAAAAGTCCTCAACATCGAGACACAGAAGTGGATGAGGTCATCATCACATACTTTTCCTCTCACGCAAGGCTGTAAGCTCACTAGTACAGTTTTGGCCTATATATCCACTATTTATATCCACAATGTGCGTCTCTCCCCACACATACACACTTCACCTGTACACCATCTGCGCCAATCTTGCGAGCAATTGTTTCCATATGCAACTGGCAGTAAATAATCCTATGTGTGTCTACAGGTGGCTCGTAAACTGCTGATCATCGAGGGGGATCACGAGCGCACAGAGGAGAGGGCAGAGCTTGCTGAGGCGTGAGTGGCCACATGATTGAACGCACAATAGTAACACACACGTTAACGTACCACCAGTGTAGTTCTGCGTATACAACACCTGTTCCACACGGCCAAAGATTATTCTGTCAAATGATTTAGTTATACTGACGTTTTCCCTCTAAGCAATGTACACACACCTACTACACAGAATACTGTGTAACATTTAACATGTACAGCATTGTAGCGCTGTTGTCCTAAACATACTGTTGTCACACAACTACTATTTGGTGCCGATCAGTCCAGCGGTTCTGGAGAAGACATTTAAAGTAGTCAACATTATTACAAATTGTCCAAAATACATAAAGGTTAGTGCATGACCTATTTGATGTTGAGTTCTGATGTCCTTAGCATGGTAAGGAGTACAGAAGTAGCAAATCATATACTGATCTGGCCAATTTGTCCTATTGGTGGCGCTGTGGGGCCATAGCTTGAACCACGCCATGGCTGCTTGAAGCTATTTAAATAAAAATACTGCTTAGTTTGCACTTTTGGGACTACTCCATTGGTTCCATTGTATCAGACCAACAAAATCAAGCGCATCTCAAGTTTTTAAAAGCATTTGATCCGGTTCTGCATTATCTCGGTCCCACTACCGGTATCATCCCAAACCAGCCCCATCCTCATGTTCCCACGGCGATGAGAATAAACTAGTGTTTGCATAACAATGGTTCTGTATCCTAATGAAAAAATACCCTCCTCCCTCTGTACATCTCTGTGCATGTTTCTGGGGGTCCGACCTAAATACCACGCATGACCCCCCCACCCTCCATACACCCCCGCTCCGCATGTTTATGCGTGAATCCGCCCCTTCCCTGCACTAACAGCAAAGCCAGGGCCCTGGAGGAGGAGTTGAGAGGTTTCGACCAATCGCTGAAGTCCCTGCAGGCCTCTGAAGACCAGGTAGAGTGTGCGTTTGTATGTGTCTGTGGCGTGAATATGTATGTGTGTGGTGCAAATGCCTATACTTCAGTGTGTGTATGCTAAAAAGGAGGGTGTAGGGTGTCCACCCACTCAGCCCAGAGTGGGTGAGAACACACTTTGGTGATCAAACTTCAATTCCTAATGTTATAAATTACATTTTTCCAAGACATTTGAATATTCATGTTCTGAATCGTTTAGTGGGGTCTTTCTCTAACATAACATTAACGTTATATCCAAAAGTCAGATTTCTTAACCTAATACATCTGATAATAAGCACCGAGCTCTGTTTACATAGCGTGCAGGTTTCTCATAACTTTTGAGGATTCTACATTTTGTGGTTGATGTCTTCAAAGTTGTTTCCGTAGGTCACAAAAAGCTAAACTAGCATGAATGAGCTGAATTAAATGTAAACAATCTTTGAAAATAAAAATCTTGGTATATACTCAGTGCTCCGTTGACATTTCACAGAGATATGCTTGTTTTTGTGAGAAATCTTCAAAAAAGAACAGGAATTTTGAATTAATATGAAAAGCGTGTACTAAAATATGTCATGTCTCACTCTATATCCATCTTACCTCTATTGTTTTATATCCTGCGGATTCAAGAAGGGTGACGAGCTCAACGGGAAAGTGAGCCTGTCAGGTAGTTAGTAGCCTTAATTATTGCACAGAATCCAGCATAGCTGATGCAATGCTATTTTCCTTAATTTCTTTTTTCCTCTGGCCTCCATTTATTTAGTCACCCTAATTCTGGCCATCCTACAAGGGTAAAAACTCAAATAACTTATGATAGACATGAGATTTGGACCATTGGTTTTCTTAGAGGATTATCTACACAATTAACATGAATTTACCCATTGGTCGAAAGATGTTTTGATTGGACACCCTACTGTGTATGTGTGTTTGGTGAATATGCCTATACTTCAGGGTGTGTAAGAGATGAATAAGTGTATGGGAGTGTGTTCATGCTCAACTGACTAGATGTGCTTTAGTGTAATCTACCATTGGTAGAACATCAGGCTTGAGATTTATGGATAGTGTAGGAACCATTTATAGTTAAAGATCTCATTATGTGGACAGGGAAAGTATTTTCTGTGTGTGAGTGAGGAGGAGAAAGACGTAATCAGACTTGTGGCCTCAAGACAAACGGGTGGTCCTCTTTGGATGACTCCAGGACCTGCCGACTCCATCCTCTCCTTCTCTTTCCGTATCTTGTCAGTATCTGCCTCGAGTCTCTGCTTGCCTCCCTTTCCCTTCCCTACTCCTTTCTCAACCTGTGTTTGCATGAATTCCAGTGTGCATTGTTAAGGAAGTGACATCCTACTGCTCTAAAGTCGATGGGAGAGTTCATGGTCATGTTTAGTAGGATTGAAACTGGGTGAAATGGGAGAGGCTATCTTGACTCATCCAGTAAGAAACACTTTAGTTTTTTGTTGCAAAACGTTTTGCTATGGTGTGCCCTACTGAACACAACTCAGAATTGACTAATGAGAACTCGAGCATGCACTACCCTTATAAGGACATCTCCAGCCTAAAGCATGCCATTCTAATGACCATGAACATTACTCGTATAGCTTGTCTTTCATTAGGGATGTTGCTTAAACTGATTTCCTGTTGTGACATGTGGGCTCACTTTAACACAGAGATATGGTAGTGTCAAGGATCTGTAACCGCCGCGGTCTGTGGTTAGCCTCATGCCTTTTCTCTGCCGTTTCTCAGTCATAAGGCACTCATTCTTCGTGTTCCCTAACTATCTCTTCCACGCTCCCAACTCTATTTCAGTCATCTCTCACCATCAATTATCTTAAACCGTATTGCCAATGTTTTCACACTGCTGCTCTTTCCTTCCTCTTCACTGCTCCACCCTCCTCGCCATCTCTCCTTCTCCTTCTCTTGAAACGAAAACTCAATGGCGACCTCCCCTCAAATCCAGTAAATGTGCTGAACTGGAGGAGGAGCTGAAAAACGTCACCAATAACCTTAAGTCCCTGGAGGCCCAGGCAGAGAAGGTAGTGTGTCTGTGTATGTGTGTGTTGGTATTTTACCTGGTTGTGTGAACCTCAGATTAAACCAGCATGTTGCCTGTGTGTGGGCATGTTCTTTTGTGACTGTATACATCTGAGGAAGCGATTTAGTAAGTACTGTGTTGACAAATGTCTTTGCACGTGGTGCAGTTGATATATACTGTACCTGTTTATCTGTGTGAGCAGCATGTGTATTTGAGTGCAGCTGCTGTATTCACCCTACACCAAAAGTTCTGTATTGACTCTGCCTTGAACATTGGCAGTGTGTACTCCCTGTAAAGATACCTCAGGCAATTACCCTTGGGTTAATTGGTCTGTGTAGTTAATTGCCCTTTGGCATTTAGCCCCATTCCAGTCTTGAATACCCCCTACCTCTCCAAGACACCCATTCTTGTCATCAGTGCCCTTTACAGCCTATGTTTATAATTTCTAGAAAGGTCACACTTGCATGAGGCATTGAGTTAATTTAATCTCCATATTTCTGATTGGACCAAAGGCCTGCATGGACAAACACCCCCATACTAAGTTCAGGGTTTGGTCTAGTCTAATTTAACATATAGATAAAACAATGTTACTCTTACGTTGAAGAGGCAATGGGGCCATAATGAATTGTTCCTTTGCACCCCTTTTGTAATCGTTATCCTCCAATGACCCAGCAGTGGAATACAAATTAACACTTCTTCCAGGTCTGTGTTCATTAGGCACCAAACAGAAGAAAATACTAAAACAGGAGAGACTACCGGGACTCATTTTCTGTTGCAAAACATTTTGAAGTTTTCCATTGTGTGACCTAATGAACACAATCCAGGTTTATGATCGTTCCCTCTACATTCCTGCATATGCAAGTCCAGATGTGCTCAGAGCAGATGCTCAGTAAACATCCCTATAAGTAAAGTTGTTTCAGTGGAATAATGGTTAGATAAGTGGTCCATCTTTTATGGACTGTAGTGTTCTGGTATTTCTCTTATGTTTTACCAGTGACTGATTTAGACCTGGGAAACCAGTGGCCTGTCCTATGGGGGAAAATATTTGGAACTTTGGCAATAGAAATGTTTGGCATAGGAATGCTTCAAATTACTGTATCGTGGATTTTTTTGCCTTATCCAGTTTTTTTTACACAATGTCCCGAACGTATCACTACACGATATTCATCAGGTGTTTTTTTTCTTCTAGCCAATCAGTGATGATTGGGCAATCGAGACATTGCAGTCCAACCGTGAATTGCAACCCAGAATTGCTATCTCAGCAAGCAAGTCACACATGCACTGTTCATTTCATAGGGGTTGTCCTTGATATTAATCTAACTATTGAACTAATTTGGCATGCATTATAATGGCATGTTGAGAGTCCTTCTATTTCAGCATCGATGAACTGGTCTTTGACATGAGATTGATGAGGTGATGTCAGTTACTTTGTTTTTGTGTGTGTGTGCTCTGCTTTAAACTGACAATCCTCTTTTCTATTACAGTACTCCCAGAAGGAGGACAAGTATGAGGAAGAGATCAAGATCCTGACCGACAAGCTCAAAGAGGTAAGTGGATAACCTGTAGAGCAGGGATTATCACTAGATTCACATGCGGGCCAGTATTATTATTATTATTATTATTATTATTATTATTATTATTATTATTATTATTATTCTAATTATTCTAATTATTATGACTTATTATTGAATGGTCAGCGGGCCGGAACATAATTACAAATAATTAGTATACTGAAAATTGACCGCAAGAAGCCCAAACAGATATAATACTTGACTAAAATAATATCAAACCTTGCTTACATTTGTATACGATCACATACTGTATCTCTCTCTATACGTGGGAATACTTTGGAACAGATTACAAAAATAAAAATCACTTGGCACTGATTTGCTGGTGTTTTTACAGTCTTATGTCCAACATTAAAATACAATCTTGGCACGCGGGTCGCCAGTTGGGGAACACTGACGTAGAGAATGGGAAAAAGCCTCTTTAATTCGGTATAATTATATAAGATATAATTGCAGATTGTTGACACTTTCACAAGCGAAATTCAGGGAAGGCCATCTAAGTTCATGCTTTGTCGGTCTATGACGTCTGTATTGACATGTCCCTGAAATGTCCCCTTGTAGTATCTAGTGTGGCGTCTCGGGGCGATATAAAATAAAAATCATAATGTTCGACGTTTCCTCAAAGAGATTTGTGGGATAGTAATTAATGGCTCGGAGGTGTTTTTTTTGTTTTCGATCTGTTATTTGTCTGGATGTCTCTTGTTGTTTTTCTTTGTTGATTTGTTTGTAGTTTGTCTTGCTCATTGCATTTGTGTGGTCTAGTCACCTTTTTGTTTATTCATAAAGTGATGTTAGTTTGGTTCAATTCCATTTGTAGCCTCTCCAAGTTAACATATTTATTAGTCTGTCGTCTAGTATCTTCATTGATTGATTGAATGCTTTGTTTTGACTCTTCTTAGGCTGAGACTCGTGCTGAGTTTGCTGAGAGGTCTGTGGCCAAGCTGGAAAAGACCATCGATGATCTGGAAGGTAGGATCCAGCTGCTTTGCCTTAAAAATCCCAATGCACTGTCTACAGGAAAGGTCCTGTTCTAGCTTAATCGCACTATTATTTTAGCATACATCATCACTTTCCCTTTGGCTGCTATTTAATTCCCTCACTCTCTCCTTTTCTTTCTTTATACACATCTTCCTATTTATTTATTTATTTATCCCTTCACTCTTTGGCCTCTCTGAACAGATGAGCTATATGCACAGAAACTGAAGTACAAGGCCATTAGCGAGGAGTTGGACCACGCCCTCAATGACATGACCTCCATGTAAATACAGACTCGCTGTGTGTGTGGTTGGCGTGCAGGGACTGGGGGGGTTTGACTGAGCAAATCTAACATTCCCCTAACAATGCACGGAAGTCAGGTGGCCAGGAAAAACACCTGGCTCTATAACACGTCACCTAACATCCATGTCATTTGTTCACATTTTTAAAGAGCTGGCAGACCGTGACAAACTACATCATGCAAAAAGCAAAGCTTGAGTCATGCAACAACATATGTCAACCAACACTGTATTTATACTCAAATAGATGTTTGTGATCTAATAACACCTAATAACAGTGTGATATGAGTTGTGTGACATTAAAAGGTGGTTCATGAAGTCTAATGGCCGAATAACTGAATGCTTGCAATTTTGCCTATCAACAATCCACTAAATGTCCACAAGAAAAGAGTCTGTGATACCCAATGGCTACTAATCGTCACAATGTAATGATTCTCAGAATCTGTAGTCACAGTTTCTCAACCCCTCTGTGTTTTCAGATAAATGTCGGGAAGCTCACTTGCTCAGTCCCCTGTTGTGGTTTCAAGAATTCTGTCTCAGTCCTCCTGAACATCCATCTCGGTTGTGCGGTTCTCGCTCTCCCTCCCCCCTCCCTTCTGTCAATCTTCACTCATTCCTTACGTGGTTGTTAAATCTGTTCCCTTTTGTACTTTTTTCACTCTATTGTCCTGTTTCTTTTGCCCCACTTTCTCTCTCCATTACTCTGTTTGTGCCCATCATCTATTCCTCCCTCCATCCCCTCACCTCTTTCCCTCTCCTTTTGGGAAACAGTCATTGTTGTTTCTTTGGGTCACTGTATGCACTGTGCTCAAGCCTGTACTCTTTGTATCACCTTTCTTTTCTCTATCTTGCCTTGTCCCTTGTTTCACCCTGTTCTCTACTTTGTCTACACTCTGTACATGTGATTCTCTATAAACGTTGAACAAAGGGAGGAGGAAAAACCTGTGTCTCCTTTTTATTCTCTTTTGGCCTGTGCTAGCTAGGGTAGCGTCAAAGTGACAACGAACACAATGGTTTCTGGTGCTCTTACCATGTGCACATTGTTTTTCCACAAATAGTCTTGGTAGAAATTGTACATTTTTATTTCATTTTAATGAGCAGAGGTGTTGGCACCTCCACAATGGGGTTTAGCATCATGCTAGGCTAGCACTAAAATTAAGAACATGTTTTTTAAGGGCGACGCAGAAGATTTCATTAAACATGTGCCATTGGTATTTGTCATTTATTCTCATCTAGAGCCACTCGCAACAAGTTCATTCAAACGAGATCAAGTAATGGATAGGTTTTGTTTATACACAACTAGGATGTCACAATGGTGCACTTCAGAAATGTACAATACAGAAAACTAAATAGCAGTGCAGCTAATATGAGATATGAACGTGATTTTAAAAAAGAAACTCATGAATCAAGTCATTTCAATGTGAATATCTACCCATTTTAGTGTCTGTTTTATGGCCTAACTAATGTTGGGTTTGGGCTTTTATCTGTGGTGTTCTGTGTTGCATCTTATCTCCTGTAGTTGCTCGTCCTGCCTTGTCCTTGCTCCGGGTCACTGATCCCTCGTAGGTAGCAGCCAGCTGGAGAAATTGTTTGAACGTTGATGCAACGGTTGCATCTCTAGGGTTTGGCAGGCCACTGAGTACATTGTGTAGTCAGAACTTTGGATGTTCTTTAGGGCCCTCTGGACTCTTAAGTCCTGGTTCAGTTTTTCGATGAGATTGAAATGCCACAAGGCAACAGCATACTCCACCACAGGACATATGCATGTCACAATTCAATAAATGCTTTATTGCAGGGTTCCTCAACTGAATTTGGCCCGCGGCTAGTTTTTATTTGGCCCCCCAAGTTTTCTGTGCAGCATTTTTAAATGTTTTATTGTTGGACATAAGACTGTAAAAACACCAGGAAATCAGCTCCAAGTGATTTTTAATTTTGGAAATCTGTTCCAAAGTATTCCCACGCATAATAGAGATGTGATTGTATACAAAAAAAGTATAATAATTAAATGGATTTATATAGCACATTTCTACCAACTAAGGTACTCAAAGCGCTTTACATAGTAAGGGGAAATGTGTAGCACCCACCTCAGTGTTGCATGGCGACCATTTTTTTGCCAGAACGCTCAACACACATTAGCTATCAGGTGGAGAGGTGAGGAGTGATGCCAATTAGGAATGAGTGGGATGATTAGGTGGTCATGATGGAATGTGGCCAGGTTAGAAATTTAGCCATGACACCGGGTTGAACACCCCTACTCTTACAATGAGCACCATGGGATTTTGAATGACCAGTCGTTTTAACGTCCCATCCGAAAGACTGCAATGTTCCCAAATGTAATCAAGATTTGAAATGATTGTTTTAGTCACATATTATATCTGTTTAGGCTTCTTGCAGTCTAAATATATTTTTGTTATTATGTTCTGGCCCCCCAAACATCCACTCAAGAAAAAAGGACAATGTTCCCAAATGTAATCAAGATTTGAAATGATTGTTTTAGTCACATATTATATCTGTTTAGGCTTCTTGCAGTCTAAATATATTTTTGTTATTATGTTCTGGCCCCCCAAACATCCACTCAAGAAAAAATTGGCCCGTGGCTGAATCTAGTTGATGATCCCTGCTTTATTGGCATGAATGGGTGATTGCCAGTGTTGCCAAAGCAAAATCAGTCGCTTGTCGTGCTAGCTAATTACCATAAAATAATCGCATTTCGTCAAATATTGTCCGTTTTTGGATTAAAACAGAATTCACTAGAACATGTTTGCTAACCAACCCAATTCGTTTAAATGTAAGTACACTTTTAAAGCCTCTGATGATAAAAATATCAAACTTTCAAAACAAGTCCTTGGCTAGCTAACAGTCAACTGACAAGCTAGCTAACTAGTTTTTAGACATGCCTTGCAAAAGTATTCATCCTTCTTGGCGTTTTTCCTATTTTGTTGCATTACAACCTGTCATTTTAAATGGATTTTTATTTGGATTTCATGTGATGGACATACACAAAATAGTCAATTGGTGAAGTGAAATGAAAAAAGTAACTTGTTTCAAAAACTTCTAAAAAATTAATAACGGAAAAGAGGTGTGCATATGTATTCACCCCCTTTGCTATGAAGCCCCTAAATATGATCTGGTGCAACCAATTACCTTCAGAAGTCACATAATTAGTTAAATAAAGTCTACCTGTGTGCAATCTGTGTCACATGATCAGTCTCTCTCTCTCTCTCTATATATATATATATATATATATATATATATATATATATATATATATATATATACACACACACACCTGTTCTGAAAGGCCCCAGAGTCTGCAACGCCACTAAGCAAGCGGCACCATGAAGACCAAGGAACTCTCCAAACAGGTCAGGGACAGATCAGGGTTGGGTTATAAAAAAAATATCAGAAACTTTGAACATCCCATGGAGCACCATTTTAAATCCATTATTAAAAAATGGAACGAATATGTCACCACAACAAACCTGCTCACCAAAACTCACGGACCAAGCAAGAGGGCATTAATCAGAGAGGCAACAAAGAGACCAAAGATTACCCTGAAGGAGCTGCAAAGCTCCACAGCGGAGATTGGAGTATCTGTCCATAGGACCACTTTAAGCCGTACACTCCACAGAGCTGGGCTTTACAGAAGAGTGGCCAGAAAAAAGCCATTGCTTAAAGAAAAAAATAAGCAAACACGTTTGTTGTTTGGCAAAAGGCATGTGGTAGACTCCCCAAACATATGGAAGAAGGTACTCTGGTCAGATGAGACAAAAATTTAGCTTTTTGGCCATCAAGGAAATTGCTGTCTGGCGCAAACCCAACACCTCTCATCACCTCGCACGCCATGTTTTTCATCGGCAGGGACTGGGAAACTGGTCAGAATTGAAGGAATGATGGATGACGCTAAATACAGGGAAATTCTTGAGGGAATCCTGTTTCAGTCTTCCAGAGATTTGAGACTGGGATGGAGGTTCACCTTCCAGCAGGACAATGACCCTAAGCATACTGCTAAAGCTACACTTGAGTGGTTTAAGGGGAAACATTTCAATGTCTTGGAATGGCCTAGTCAAAGCCCAAAGATTGCTGTACACCAGCGGAACCCATCCAACTTGAAGGAGCTGGAGCAGTTTTGCCTTGAAGAATGGGCAAAAATCCCAGTGGCTAGATGTACCAAGCTCATAGAGACATACCAAGAGACTTGCAGCTGTAATTGCTGCAAAAGGTGGCTCTACGAAGTATTGACTTTGAGGGGGGTGAATATTTATGCACGCTCAAGTTCTGTTTTGTCTTATTTCTTGTTTGTTTCACAATTTAAAAAAATACTTTGCATCTTCAAAGTGGTAGGCATGTTGTGTAGATGAAATTATACAAAAATCCATTTTAATTCCAGGTTGTAAGGCAACAAAATAGGACAAATACCAAGGGGGATGATTACTTTCGCAAGCCCCTGTATTAACCAACTAGCTAGCACATTATCCACATTACCCCCACCCCCCCAGAGGCTCTATTTCTATGTAATTTTCTATCCTAGAGAGGAAATGCACATTTAGGTTCCACCTCCAAAGAATGACTACTTACGTTGCGTTTATTTTTGTTCAGTGTAGATAAGGTTAGCATGCTAGCTAGCTGCACTGGCAGCTGTCAGTGTCCTATTTGTTGATGTTTATCAACTCCACGTGGAAATTCCCACACCCAATTTGTGAATATGTACATGCATCAATTGACTATTTTACTTAGTTACAGTTCATATAAAGAAATCAGTCAATTGAAAAATAAATTAGGCCCTAATCTATGGATTTCACATGACTGGGAATACATATATTGTGTACAGATCCTTGCGACATGGGGCTGTGCATTATCATGCTAAAACATAAGGTGATGGAGGCAGATGAATGGCACGAAAATGGGCCATGGTATCGTCACGGTATCTCCTGTGCATTCAAATTGCCATTGATAAAATGCAATTGTGTTCGTTGTCCGTA